TATTTTTTTTTTTTTTCCCCCCTTCCTATCCTGAATTGTCTGTGGTGTGTATATGTCACCACGAAATGTATCTTTATGTATTAGACATCCGTCGACTTTTTTTCTCTCCTTTTTAAATCCACCCCACCCACAAAAAAAAATTCTCTCTGTCACTCATCCTCATACTTACACTTTCTCTAAATTCTGTTTTGATTTCCGGAGTTTTTTTTTTCTGTTTTCATTTTGAATTTGTAGGTCTGATGATTTTGGATCGTATTTACGATTCCAATGGAATAAATTATGACCATGGAATATTAGTGTTTAAGCCTTTTTATTATATCCTTACTCTGTCTTAGACATTGAGTTCTACCTGGATCCTTCCTCTTGGAAAATTTTTTTCTGAAAATATACATGTATGGGAATTTTTAGATATATTTTTTCATATGTATGTATATTTTTTAAATTTAATATATATATATATATATATATATATATATATATATATATATATATATATTGTTGGGAGTTTTGACTTTCTCAGGAGTAGGTTATGGAACAAGTTGATTTATGGGGCGCATAAAAGTTTTTTAGTTCTTGTGTACAAGATAGTGACAGCAATTATTAATTATTCTGTGTTCTGTCCCAATGTACAACACAATGATTAAGCAAGGCATTTAAACAAGTGAATTTAAAACGAACGGGAAGATAAAGATTTGTTCCTCAAGAAATAACAATTTATGGGGGAAGAGATTAAGACCCTTGATAGAAAGGGTAAGTTCACATATAAACATTTAAAGGGTGTTAATGCTGCTTCCTTAAGTGTTGGGGTTACCAATGTAAATGGTGTTTTGTTGAAAAGATTAATATGGCTGCGTGTTGAAGAGCATTTAACATTTATACATTTTTTTAAATCAAGGAAAAACAATGGAAAACCAATTTGTGTTTCAATGATAAAACATATATTAAAATCAACAACAAATACAAGGTAATTTTTGTAATGTGTGAATAAGGAGAAAAAAGTAGTTTCCCTTTATCTGTTAGTTGAATATGGTGATATTTAAATAAGCAAGTTTTTTAAATTGTCGGAGTTAACTCCTCCTTCACTCCGTTAACCCTTTCACCAGGGGTCTCTCTTCCCTGGCTATAAATAGCCGCTGACTCTTCACCTCTATCTCTTTTTTCCTTTCAGGCCTGTTCGTTCTTGACACATTGAGGTAAACTCTCTTTTTCCTTCAGGATTTCAGCTATCAACCTCGAAATGTAGGCGCTAACAAGGGATAGCGTGGAAACACGCTGAAAAGCACAAATACGCACACACGCACGCACATACAGAATATTCACGCACGCACACACATACAGAATATTCACACACACTTCGTCCTTTGTACTGCTTCCATGTATTGTAAGTTGTTATTAATATATATTTGTATATATATATATTATCGGTCTTGTGTTTTGTTTGCTTTCTTTACCTTCTTCTTTGGACTTAATCAAAGTCCAACCTTTTTATGTAGTTGGGCCCGGCGGGCAGGAGTATCTGAACCTTACTTGCGTTTCTTCTACGTCTGACTTCTATCAACAACATAACAGCCACGCCACGAACCCTCAACAAGTGGTAACCGCCACGGCCCACTACAGAATATAATGTTCAGAGTTCTGTGTTAAAATAGTATGTGTATTCAGAAGAACATACAGAAAGCTCAATTGTATATTTTGTATAACTAACAGAGGTGTTGCAACTTGGCTTGTTTACAAAGAACTAGTGGCGAATGATATTCAAGTTCTGTGTCTATGCGTACGGAGTGAGTAGAATGAATAATCTGTATAGACGCGTGTAAGTAGTTGAGTTCTACTGTCTTCAGCTGTCTTGGTTTCAACTCTACTGGTTGATTTGGGAATGAATCCGAACTTATATTACTATCGGTGACTTCCAGCACAAACGCGGGATAAATTTTGAAAGAACACGAAAAATATCTGATTGGATGAAAAATTAACCAATCGGTGATTTTATAACAAAAGCATGTTTGTGAGTTAACGGTAGGAAAAATTCAGTGTGGTGAATGTAATCAGTAAATTGTCCTGTGATATTTAGTAGATATTATTTGACCAATCACAGTTGAGAAAAATGTAGGCGTGGCAACATAGTAGTAATCACTACAAGGGAAAAGATAACATACACATATTTAAGTGTGTTTAATGAAAACCCTTTGAAAGGTAAAAGTTATGTACACACATTTAGGTGTGTTTAAATAAGCCACTGAAAATGGAAAAGTACAAAGACACATGTTATGACGTGATAATTAAATCCATGAAAATGGAAAATTTCCATGACAAAACACACATTGAAGGGTGTTTAATAAAACCCCTGGAAAGGGAGAAAGTTCATAGACAAGACACATTGTGGTGTGTTTAATGCAATCTCTTGAAAGGGAGAAACTTCATACCTTGGATTGTTGAATCTACATCAGAAAAGCGTGAAATGTTTCAGTGGATTAGTAAATCTGTTGAGTTGACAACGCATAATCCTTTCACCAGCTGCCTTTGTTTGTTTTATGGTCTGCATTTTGCTTTATGGTTTGCTTTATTGTTTGCTTTATGGTCTGTATTTATAGCTTCCCTTAAGCATGTGCTGGCTCACAAAAATGTCCCTCAAAAATGCAAGGGAAATGCTGTTAGTGGTCAATTAATAATTTTGAATGTTTTCAACTCTACCAGAAGTGCCACTCAGTGCCTTTGCATAAATATAGGTCAGTGACAAAGAAAAAAATCCTTCAAACAAATATATAATATTAGCTTTCAGATAGAATCAATTTGCTCAACTATACTTAACATCAGGAAGAGACAGTTGAAATTTCTAGGGTACATAATGAGGAAAGAGGGTCTGAAAACTTTGATACTCACAGGACATTGAAAGAAAAAGAAGAATGAGGAGGAGGGTAGGTATGAATATATTGTTGGTGTGCAATCTAATTTAGGCAGCTGGAATTACAAGTTATTCCAGGCATGTGTATTTACTTGAACCCCACTGAATCAGGTTGTGACACAAGGTCGGTTTTTAACGTGGGAACCCGAGTGTTTTCACTCGGACTGCTGGTCTGCGCTGTCTAAGCTAGTCATAGCTGGTCTTAGCTGGTCATAGCTTGTCCAAGCTAGTCATAGCTAGTCTTAGCTGGTCATGGCTGGTCCAGGCCAGAGCCGGTTCAAGCTAGTCGTATCCGTGATACTACCAGTGCAGGGACGAATCCCTACACCAGGTAAGTATCAACAAATTATTCCAGGTATTGTCCGGAATAAGAAAATCTTGACCCTATGTACAGTAAAAACGCCGTAACACAGTAATGGTTATGCAATGGCATAAAACTAAACAAGTGAATTTTAAATGAAACTCAAGATAAAGATTTTTTTAATAACAAGTAACAATTTATTTGGATGTTTTCTACATCGTGTGGTGTGTTTAATAAAACCATTGAGAAAAAGGGAAAAGTCAGTACTTAACTTTGCTGCAGAATCTATGTCGGCAAATTGGGAAATGTTGATTCAGTTGATGAGTAATCCATGTCTGAATTCACAACATGGAATCCCTTTTCAAACTGACTTCCCTTTCTTTATGGTTTGTATTTAGAGTTTCCAGCTAGCAGGCGCTAGCTCACAATGAAGCCCTTCAAAAATGCGAGGGAAGCACTTTCAGTGGTCAAATAATAATATCAATTTTACATTTCAATATTTTAAAGCACTGCTGGAAGTATCACACAGAGTCTAGGTGTAAATATCTGATTTTGGTCATTCGATTCCTGACAATGAAGCCCTTCAAAAATGTGAGGGAAGCACTTTCAGTGGTCAAATAATAATATCAATTGGTCATTCGACTTGTGATTTTGATATGCCAACTTCTGGACAACCCATCTGTGCTAATACTGTCGCGGTCGCCGATTAGCCGCTCCTTAGAAAGACGACCTTGACCTTCACAAACCATGATCTCGCAGATTTAAGTCAAGCAACATACGAGAAACCGGACGACTAGTCCAATATCGTTGATGCCAAACCGTACCTCGTGAGCATCGGATTATGCTGCGCCCTGTCAAACATCGGACAACCATTGATATTAATTTAATATCTACGGTTTTCTACTCCCTCTAGCCAGGGAGTACTTGAATAAATCACTCCAAATATTGTTAGCCACTTTCGTCGTCCAAATCCAAAAGGTAAGATAGGACTTTTTAATCTTCTTTTTTGGCCTTCTCAGGGCTAAATATTTTCCTTTCAACATAGCTAGAGCATGCAAGTACATAAGTCCCGCTTTTTTGTCCTCATTTTCCACCCCACCCCACTTTTTAGGTGACAGAGGTCTCCTTTCTCTGGATTTCTTTCAAACCAGTTAATCGAGATTTCTGCCACATTTTTGGGAAGGGTCCTATTACTAATATTGTTTTGTTTAGTTTCTTTTACAAACACTTTTTTCATTGTATATAATCATTGGGTTTGTGATTTTTGTCCCCCATCCTTCGATAATTATGTAAATAAAAATTTCATGTTAGGGCCTTCTCATTGAGAAAATGTGGTATTTTGGTGATTGTGGTGTGACAGCAAGGTGTAAAAGCGTTGTTATGGCGAAAGGAATATTGTAAGTACGAATGGTCGATCCGCCCTGGAAGACGTATCACCTCTCTGACCTGCTTCGCCAAGTGATACACTTTGGCGCGATCCTGTTTCCGCGGTCGATCCGCCCTGTGTTCTATCACTGTTCAGTCTTGGCCTGTTTAGGGACATCGATCAACCCTATACGACCAGACCAGATCAACTCTATACGACCGAACCAGCTACGTTCGCTGATCAACTCTATACGACCGGACCAGATCAACTCTATACGACCGGACCAGATCAACTCTATACGACCGAACCAGCTACGTTCGCCGATCAACTCTATACGACCGGACCAGATCAACTCTATACGACCGAACCAGCTACGTTCGCCGATCAACTCTATACGACCGGACCAGATCAACTCTATACGACCGGACCAGATCAACTCTATACGACCGAACCAGCTACGTTCGCCGATCAACCCTATACGACCGGACCAGATCAACTCTATACGACCGAACCAGCTACGTTCGCCGATCAACTCTATACGACCGGATCAGATCAACTCTATACGACCGAACCAGCTACGTTCGCCGATCAACTTTATACGACCGGACCAGATCAACTCTATACGACCGAACCAGCTACGTTCGCCGATCAACTCTATAACGACCGGATCAGATCAACTTATACGACCGAACCAGCTAACGTTCGCCGATCAACTTTATACGACCGAAAGCTACCCTAAACAACAAATAAACAATACCGGACCCGACACCGATTTAAACGCATTAATAAATTCGACGTTATTGTTCCATAAACCTTTGCCTTTGTCCCCTCATTGTCTTGGCTGTTCACACGTTTCTTCATAAAGCTTGCGGGGGCGACATCCTTATTGGCCCCGCAACAATACAAAGGAAGTGCTGTCAGTGGTCAAATAATAATATAAACTTTATTTTCCAGTATTTTAAAACACTGTCGGAAGTGCCACTCAAGGCCTAGGTATAAATGTCTCGTTTTGGTCATTCAACTCCTGACTTTGAGACGGCAACTTCCAGTTGTTCTGACAGTCCTAACGGTTAACAAGCGTCACAAAAACTTTGTCCCATTTGTCATATATCTTTTCTTTCAAAACTGTTCTTGATATATACCTATTTTAATATGCAAAATCAATATATATCAATCGCTTTCTGCCAGTGAGTGAATTTGAGGGAAAGACTAATGTCATCATGCAGTATACAAAACCTTTGCTGCTGGTTTGGTGAAAGCTGAATTAAATTGAATTCTGTTCAAGATGCTACAGTTAAGAGAATATTTTATATTACTTCTTCGTATTTATATGTTACGTTAGTAACAAAAATTATTTCTGTCTCAAATCATAAGAAGGTTATTTGCTTACGACAGCATATTTTACAGGTCACGCCACTATATTAGTGTGTGTGTGTGAGCATGCTTGTATGTGTATGAGCAAGTGAGTGTGTGTATTTATGTGTATCCTTGTGTATATATGTGTGAGTGTGTGTGCATATGCTGATGTGCCAAAATATCATGACAGCATATTTTACAGGTCATGCCACTATATTAGTGTGTGTGTGTGTGTGTGTGTGTGTGTGTGTGTGTGTGTGTGTGTGTGAGCATGCTTGTATGTGTATGGGCATTAGTGTGTGTGTGTGTGTGTGTGTGTGTGTATTTGTGTGTGTATCCTTTTGTGTATGTTAAAGTGTGTGTGCATATGCTGATGTGCCAAAATATCATGACCTGTGATATTTAGCAAGAATAACAGCTACTACCTCATAACAACTGTGTATCACAGTCAGAAATACATAAACAAGGAAGCCATCTTCAGGCATTTATTTCTGATGTGATATATATATATATATATATATATATATATATAAGAAATATAGTTTTAAGGTGTGCTATATTTATGGGATAAAGTGCTCAATATCAGAGATAGAGCGTATGTAAATATAAATATAAAAGTGAACATTGAATTCAACACTCAGAGGCGACAGGTTGTTTCATGCTGGACGCAATCATCAGACTGCAAATGCTTGATTTTTCCTTGGCTATTTATATATATGGGTCGGTGGTGCATTGTGGGTAATCTATTCTGGCGATTAATTTTGTGGGAGTGGCTTGTTTATTTATTTATTTGGGTTCATTTATTTTACTTGCTTTTCATTTTCATTTTGTATTATTTAATCTTTTTGTTTTTTGATGTTTTATTAACGTAGTAAAAATTTTGGAGGGAGATTTGCTTAGGTTGCTTATTTAATAGTTTGTTTGGGTCTGGGAAGATAATTAAAGCTATTTGTTAAATATAACAGACAATGAATGTTTATTATTGTTGTAAGCTAGGGAGGGTTACTGAATAGAATAATCAAATAAATGATAATACTTAGGATGAGAACAACACATATAAGATTCACCAGTGGTATGTAGAAGTAGTAGTGAACTGCTAGAAGTGAGTCAAGTGAATTCCACAATGAATCTCCACCTGCAGACCAACATACAGTATTTACTACTATATTTATGTGAATGCGGACATACTCATTATTGTCCATAGGTATGCTACAACAATTATTATGTTTGATCATGAGCCATTCTAAACTTTGTGTGGGTGCTTTAATTTTGGGTGAAAATAAAGACAAAAATTGTTCAACATTTGGTTATTTTTTTATTCAGTTGGTCCTTGATCTGAGCTTTCGGCTCACATGAGCCATCTTCAGAGTGGCTATATGGACATTTAAACAAAAATATTCACCATCAAAGATGATATTCAATTATGTTGACACAGAAGAGTGCTATATGAACTTTGCATATATGAAACCATGGAAAATGTCCTGACCAGGATATTTATTACTGCCAAAATAGAAAAGCAGATAAATAATTAGATGGAGATAAAAGAAGATGTAATGATAACAGAAAATTATGGTAGAGGCAGGGAACCATTTAGAGCAGATGTTCTCAACTGGGGGTAAATTTACCCCTAGGGGTAAAAAATTATATAGTCAGGGGTAAATAATTGAAGTACCTGATAATTAAAAAAAAAACGCCTGAAAGCTGATGATGATATGAGAATAGCATTATCAGAAACAGCTCCTCGTATAAACAAACTGATTGACTCAATGAATCAGCAGTTTTCCCACTGATAATGCTTCTGGTGTTTCTGTTCATTATTTTTTGTAATACAAATTAACTTCATAATTTTCTATTTAGAAAAGGTTTAATTTTTTTCTTTTTTTTTGATACGAATGTATAATACTATTTTTATACAAAACCTAAAGCCCTAAACAATAAAAATATTCTTTCTGACCTTCTTGTTTTTCTGTCACTATATGACATTGATGTACAAATGAATGATGGATTACTAATTTTTTGATCAGAATACTGAATTTTTACTAATTTGCCAGTATTTTTTTTTCTGTTTTGGTATTTTTACTAATGACTAATTTGCACAATTTTTAGTCACAAATTAGTCAGTACTAATCATAATCATCCATTCAAAAAAAATTTTTTTAGTATTTTCCAAAAATTTTATAAATTGCCAAAAACAAAAATACTAAAATAATTTTTTTTTGAATGAATGATTATGATTAGTATTAATTTGTAGATCTGCTAATACAGCGGATAAAATGAATAATTTTTTTATTAATGACTACAAACATTAATAAAAATACTGAATTTTATACAGAGTACTAACTTATACTAAAAACTTAGTAGATTAGTACTAAATAAGAAATCGGTATTTTGAGTGTCGCTTAGTATTTTTTTTAGGCACAGTATTTTGACTAAAAAAAACCCTTAGTATTTTGAATGAAAAAATCATTCATTCATTTAGTCACAAAATTGTACATCAATGCTTTATGATGACTATGAATTTTTTTTATGGGAGTAGGGGGGGTAAATGGAGAAATACATAAAGCCAAGGGGGTCAATGATGGAGGAAAGTTTGAGAATGGCTGGTATAGAGGATCTATATATAGAGGAGGAAGATGCAAATCATGCAGTTGTATTAAGTTGTAATGTCTGTGAATCAAGATATTACTGGGCAAAGGACTGTCCACATGTTAACAAAGACGTTAATATGACAGAAAATATCAATATAGGGAAATATTCAGAAGAGACAGTTTATATGACTTTGATGACAGAAGCTAAACTGTTGACAAAATATCCGATCAAGATGCTTTGGTAATGGAAGCTTGGAATGCAGTAATGGTAGATACTGCATGTACCAAGACAATTTGTGGTAATGAATGGTTGTATTCCCTGCTTGATTCACTTTCTTTTGAAGAGTCACAAAAACTTTGCCCATTTGTCATATATCTTAAAATCATTTGCTGGATTAAAATCAACTATTGGTTTCATTTTGGCAACATTTTATTGGTTTGACTAGGGCCAGTAAGGAATAAAATGAGAAAATTTGGTGATGGAAGTATAGTTAACTCATATCAAACTGTTACTTTCCCCAGCAAAAATTGGCAATTGTTTATGTAATATAAAAACAGAAATTGTAGAGTGTAAAATTCTACTGCTTTTGAGTAAGGAATCTCTAGCTAAGGCTGGAGCATTTATTGACATCAGAAAAGATCACATAATGATGATTGGTCAGAAAGTA